GGGGCCCTGATCTTCCCCAAAGGCTCTGGTTTTCTTTTCCCTCATTGCCATGTTTCTTTTCCACCCCCTTGAGTTCACATGCTTTCTGTCTTTGGTTTGATCTGTTTCTTTTTCTCATCACTTTTCTTAGGCTTCTGAACATGGAGGAAAAACAAACAGTAATGGGCTTTCTCTAGAAACAGAGCAAGGAATACCTGTGCATCTACTTTATTGGCTTTTGGTGAAGGGGAGAAGTGATTGAAATTCGGCTTCTTACTTCCTCCTTCTTAACCCTTTCTCACAGTCATAAAAACCAAGAGTGGCATACCTGGCCAGCAAAGACCTGGGACTTTTGGAGTGTAGAGGGAAGCTTCTAGAAGCCCTCAGTGTGCAGAGTGGCCTGGTGGGAAGTCTTGTGGAAGGGTTGCTCTTAGCCTTAGCGCCTTTGCTCCCTTCCTTCTCCTGCCTCCTCTTGTTGCCTCTCCCTTTTCTCATTCCTCTTTGCAAATGCATTTTTTTGAAGGATGAGGTAGAAAGATGGTGGTTAGGGTTGTTGCTGTGTTTTGGAGAAACAGCTGAGGCTGTAGTTATGTTTTCTTGACCTGGCTTTCTGTGCTGGGATCCATCTTGGCAAACAAAAGACAAAGCTTTTATCTTTCATCTTTTTTTTTCCCTGAAGGGCCATTTCTCAGCTTTCCTGATCACTTTTTGAATGTGGGTATCTCCCTCCCCATTCCTGGGGGAAAACAATCTCCTGCCCTCCTCTAGCCCCTTCACAGACCAGTTTCAGGGTTTCAATCCGAAGCCCAAGGGGTGTTTGAAAATGGCTGTTGAATGTCAAGAGGCTCACAGCTCTGTGGTTCTTGTCACCTAAGAGAGAGGTGTCTGCCTGAGTAGCTTGCAGCAGGCAGGGGGCGAGGCAAGGGGCAGACAGAAAACAGGAGAGTTGGCCCTCCATTAGGAAAATTGGCTGTCTGCTGAAGTCACACAGCGGAAGCAAGGAAAAAATGGAAAAAGAAAAGGCATGTGGCAAACTTGTGGAGTGAACTAAGACCGAAAAGTGCTCTAGTGTGCAGGGTTCTGCTGGAGAGCAACCGTTGCTTTTTGCTTTCAAGGGCTTTCTGAAAAGGAAGCTGTCAGCCTCCCTCCTGTCTTACAAAGAAAAGGAAATCAGCCTGGCCACATCAGGCTGGGAGAGCACTTCGATGCCAAGGTGCCTAGGAACCTCACAGCCATCCCCACTATGCAGGGCAGTGGCCTACCATCCTGTTGTGGCTAGGGAACCTGTAGCAGTTAGCCTGACTCTGCCCTTCTGTCCAGTGCTCACTCAGAGAAAGGAACTTACGTGGCCCCTGTATGGACAAGCTAAAGGCCATGCTGCTGTGCCCAGCATACACTTGGGAAACGGAAGCACAGAGTCTTCCTGGATGGGGCCACAGCTGATACCTCCTCACCCACTGGGCCTTTCCTCCCTCCTTTAAGCTTCCCCACATCCATTTGCCACACTCCTCCAGCATTTGACCCCACATGAAAAGTCTCCATGCAATGTACTGCAGAACAATGTTCTTTGTAAAGAACCAAGAAAACTCACTGAGTTCCTAGGAAAGTGCCCTTAGCCCCATGTGCTAGGTTTTTGTATCTTGTCGCAGGGGCTCCAGGGCACAAGAGAAGGTTCTCTATAGATCCCACACTGAGGCTTTTGGAATCTGGAAGGGAAAAAAAAAGTCTCTGCTCCAAAATGTTTTTGAAAAGCAAGTGTACACATTGTCCTAACTGGTGGGGAAGGGGAACATGCCAGCATTTCCTTACTTTTCCAGTCACTGTTATAGGGGATTGAAGTTAAATTATGGTGCTTATAACGTGTCACTTTTCTTCAGAATTTGTCTCTGGAGGTGACAGACAGGCAGGTGTGAACACCCCTTGTTCCCTCATTTTTGATCTGGGGCTTTCCAAAACTCTTAGGTCTACCAGGTCAGACCATCGTTCCCTTTAGGGAGCAAGAATTCCCAAGCGTCCTTCTAGAGCCTCTTCCTCTACTCTAAACTTCTTGGTGGGTTGTCATTGATTAATTTCTCGAGACAAAGACAACTTTTTTTTCTTTCTTTTTTACAGTGCTGGGAATCAAACCCAAGGCCTTGCACACGCTAGGCAAGTGCTCTACCACTGAGCTACATCTCCAGGCCCAAACCGATCTTTAGAGTTTTCTCCCATACCTGCCCTTTCCCTCTCACTACCTGGACCTACTTCTGTGGTAGACCACCTTGAATAGAGCTACTTGCTCCTGTAGAAAATTGGGCTCCCTTCTTCCTCCTTGGCTTGAAATAACTAAGCATTCTAGAGACTCTCCCCCGGCCCCCCAAAGTGGAAAAGATTCTTCTGGAAAGGGCCCTCTTCTCCCCCCCTGTAGAAGTTGCAAAGAAATCACTTTGGCTGCTTTCGAGGGATCCATTGTGAGCATTTTCCAAGGAATATTCTAGGGGGTAGGTCCTGGTCCCTCTTCAGCCCCAGTTCTAGGAATGAACAAACCTGGCCGAGCTGGTTTTCTGTTTGTTTATCTGTGGTTTTGGAAAAAGAGAAGCTTTAGTTAGGCCTCAGTTAATGAGCCCACCAATGGCCCCATCTGGACTAACTTACCTCCACTGAGTCTTTATCTGATCTTGGTTCTTCATCTCCCATCTCTTGTGCTTCTAAAGGTGTTTCCTTCTAGCAACTCTGGTTGGCCTGGCTGGGGCCAGAGTGTAACTTCAACCTGTCTAACAGTGGCTGGCTAGAAAACTATGGCAAATATTGGCATTTTCTAGAGAGGAAAGAAAAAAAAAAAAAAGATTGAGGGGATGAGTCAGCCCTGATGGGTTTTAATTGATGACTTTGCAACCAGGGACGTTTACGGTTTTATTGGAAGTAAAAATTTAAAGCTTCAGCTACACAGTCAGTCAATTGCTCAATCTATACATCTATTTATTATCTGTTTATCTATTTAGCCATCGATTAATCTTTCCTTTTTCCCTATCCTAATCTTCATTATTGAGTCAGTCTGTATAGACAGAGCCGGTGATAAGAGTCACCTTTACTTTTCCGTCTTTTTTCCTGGAGGGAAATGAAAGAAATCTTTGCTTTGGCCACTGAGTGTCTTAGACTCAGCATGTTCTCAGGGAAAATGTAAGTTTCAATCTGCCTTCTTTCTCTCTGCTCAATCTCCCTCACCAAGCGGAGCAGGCCAAGATCAAGGTTTTTTGCCCTTTATTCACCTGTGATCTCTTTGAAACAGGGAATAGTTATCCCCTTGATGAAGGGTCATAACTATGGAGCACTTACGAAGAGGTGGAGTGAAAATGGTCTCCTTCAAAAGAGGCTGGAAATGTTTTCGGTTTTACTTTTTCCCCCTAATTCTATTACATTTAGTATTAATTAATTAATTAATAATTTATTGTGTGTGTCTGTGTGTTTATGTATGTGCGTGAGTGTGTGCATGCCATGGCACATGTGTAAAGGTCAGATGGCAGGGTTCCGTTCGCCTTCTACCATGTAGGCCTCACGGATGGAACTCGGGTCCTCAGGCTTGGCAGCATTTTGCCGGCCCTCTGTCCTAGTTCTACATTCTTTTTGTGTGTTTTCCTTCCATAAGTGACTTATCTGTGATCTTGTTTCCAGAAGGCAGGGAGTGTGTGAACTGCGGGGCAACTTCGACCCCACTGTGGCGGCGAGATGGTACTGGGCACTACCTTTGCAATGCCTGTGGACTCTACCACAAAATGAATGGACAGAACCGGCCTCTTATTAAGCCCAAGCGAAGGCTGGTAAGTTTTTGGAACTGAACTCATGGAACAATCTTGTGTTTTCTATGATGTCTCTCTGGGAAAGATGGCTTTCTACAGGAAATTGGCAGGGTAGTCTGAAATCATGTCAGCTTGCTTTGGACAGGTTTTGTCCTTCCCGTCCCTTCCCTTCCCTTCCTTCCCCTCTTCTCTCCTCCCCTCCCCTCTCCTTCCCTTCCTCTTTCTTTTTTCCCTTTCTTTATTCTTTTTTTCTCTCTTTTTTAGATATTTAGAAAAATTTGGTGTTTTTTTTTCCTTGTTTTTAAGTTACTTCTCAAATTTAAGTATACTAACTCACTGCTTATATCTGAAATGTATTTCTCAATAGAATAATTGAGTTTAACAATACCAGGACAACTGTGTCAATAACTGCTGAGTTGCAAACAGAAATTAAATATGGGAATGGGCAATCCTAGGAACCATCTAGAACATAGTCTGGTGGGAGAAGGTGGGTTCTGAGGAAGCAGTTACAGACCCAGGTCTATGGATGAACCTCCTGTGTCGAAGTCTTAAGATTGATGGAACTCGATGGTGTGGTGATACACTCCTGTAATCCCCGACACTTGGGAGGTGCAGGCCTGAGGATCAGGAGTGCAAGGTCAGTCTCCACTACACGTCAAGTTTGAAGTCAGCTGGGGCTATGAATTTCAGAGACAATTCAATGTACTTTTCCTCCTTTCTTGCTCTTAAGCTTCGAGGAGTTTGTACAGATGATCCCTGTGGGAAGTTTTGTAATTCTTGTTTTGACTATCAGTCTCACCTAGGATTTGCTTTTATTTTCTGTGAACTGCTACGCACAGTGATAATTTCTCAGCCCTCTCTTCGCTTTTCTTTCTTGAGATTTTTGATCATTAGGAATACTTGAGAAATCCTTGTGCCGTCAAGTATTTATAAGGAAAGCAAACAGGAGGAGTTTGTTTGTAAACTTAGCTCTGGAACCTTGGGCCAGATTGAATAGTGAGTGTACGGAACAGAGACAATAAAAGTAGGCTTGGCAGAAGACAGTGGCGAGCTCAGAATGCTTTTTGTGGTGCTGAACTCATCAAGTGGAAGGGGAAGAATTTCCCCATGCAGATTCCGAGGGGGAAAAAATGGAACAAAAAACCCCAAAACCAAACAAACCAGACTGCACACCCTTCTGTACTCCTTTTAAAGCATTGTTTGTCTTCCCTGGGAGACACAAGTGCAATTTAGCACCTTTCACACCCTCTTTAGAAAAAGGAAAAACTTTCTAGGGATGGAGGTGCCTACATGACTATAATTTTTTTTTGGCAATCTTAGATCTCTAGGCTTTATTCTATCTGATCTTCGACTGTCTCAACCTCCCCCCGCCACCCCACCATGCAGGGTGTTTTTTTTTTTTTTTTCGTTTCTCTCATGTGCAAAGCTAACTTCCTAGGAAAAAGCTGCCGGATATCTGAGCACTAGAGATAACTCATAAACAACAACTCAGCTTCCCCAACCTAAACATCAAGATGTTTGGACGGATCAGAACAAGAAGTGCTTAAAAAAAAGAAAGAAAGAAAAATGGCTGGAGGTGTTAGCACAGAATGAATGTGATCACACCACAAAAGAATGCTGTGAATCATTCAGAACCTGGCCTTAGTGAAAAAGAAAAAAACCTAACAACAAAAACCTTCTTGTTAAATTAAGTTGTGGTGCAATTAGAGTTTTTATTTTAAGGTAAAGGCAAAAAAATGAAAAAAACGATGTGTAAAATTCTCAGACAACAGACTGGTGGATGAATTAGAATCCATCTGATGTTTTCTTCAGTCTACAACAGCTACAGAGGAGGGCTCTAGTTCCATTTTATATAATTTATCCCTTACCTGCCTTTTATAGGAAACATGGGGAATTCTGAGTAATAGTCGCTTTGAATTCTGGAGTTCATAGGCTGTCACGATTTAAGCTATCTTAATCATCTCTCCTGGTGGTTTGGTATTTTCAGTTCCATAGAATTCATATAGTAGAGGGAGACCCATAGAGACTTCTGTTTTCTTTTTTGACAATTATTTGTAGTGTGTGTGTGCGTGTGTGCGTGCATGCGTACGTGTGTGTTTATGGGCATGTGGAAGCCTGCGGACAACTTGCAGGAGTCAGGTCTCTCCCCATCATGTGGTTTCCAGGGATCGAACTCAGGGCATCAGCCCTGCAGCAAGCACCCTTCCCCTCTGAGCCATTGCGCCAATTTTTCTTTTTCTTTTCCCCTTTAGATGCTTTTGACTTCTAAACACCTAGAACCTTTGTTTTCTTTTCTCTTCCCGCCCCACCTTCATGGGGGGGTGGTGGATCGAAGAGGCCTCACGCATGCTAAGCACACACCTGCATTTCCGTCCCTTCACTTAGCCCTGCCTTTCCACCTTGCTACTTTTGCTTCACACATTTGCAGATTCACTGACTGCCATCCAACCCATAACGTAGCTAGCTTCTCCGTGCGCTATGAATTAAACCCTGACACGTAGAAGAGATGACTCCAACTAGATCCACAGATTTCCCCTACTAGTATTCCAGGATTTTCTTATGTCTTCCAACTAGAAAAGACTGGTGCCTTGCTTTATCAAAGGACTTATTAATGCCTCTGCCACTGAACCCAGTAGTGTGACTCAGAGAGAGTCTAAGTTTGTCTTGCCAGAGACACATCTAGCCTGTATATATGTATAGTATTTACAGTACACTGCAAAGGATTCTTTCTATATGTTGAGTTCTTTCTTCAGAGCACTTTTTGATTTGTGTATTTATATTATACATTTAGGATTGTTGAGCTGGAAAATCTGGGGCCTGAGTAGATAGTGCTGTATCTAAATATTTATAAGATAGTGTAGGATGATGGTGTTAATTACATGTAATGTAATTGTCACAAATCATTAGGTATTGGTTTTCAGTAGCACATTCTTCCCCAAAACACACAGGGGAACTAGTTATTTCAGTATTAAACGATCACATTTCAGAAAGACAGGTGGTCAAAGGCAGAATGGACATCAACACTTTTAGACCTTATGATTTATTTTCAAATTGGACAGCAGACACGTAGCACCTTCTTCTTGATGATGGAGAAGAACTGTTTTTAATTTTTCAGTTCCTTAGAGTACCAAAAAGAATTACTTTTTAAAAAAAGTCAGAGTGCTGCTATTTAAAGCCCAAAGGAGCTGATCTGCCGAAGAGCTTAGCGGATTTGAAAGGAAGGGAACCCATCTGGTGAATTCAAAATTGACACTGGGTTTTCCGTATCTGACAGCTTTGAGTATTTGGCCAACCTTGTGCTTGATAAAATGTTGATAGAAAAGAGCACCAGGATCACTGGAGTATTGGAGTCTCACATTCTTGTAAATGTACCAAAGATTTTCTCCATTCCTCCCTCCCTCCCTCCCGCTCCTCTGCCCTCATCCCTTCCCCTTCTTCCTCCTCCTGTTTTGCTTCTTCCCCCTTCTCCTGCTTTTTTATGGTGCTGGGGATCCAGCCCAGGGCCTTTTGCCATGCTAAACACCGACTCTTCCATGGAGTCAAATCCCCAGTTTTCATACTAGAAGTTTCTATTCTAACTGAATTCTTTGTTCATCTGTCTTTTCCTTTACTGTTAATTTTGAGTCCAAGATCCAGACTCATTTTTGAGGTAACATTTTATTTTCATGATAGAAGGTAAAGGAGGAAGAGTGTGAGGAGACAAGAGTTTGTTAGAATTGACAATTTCAATTTCTTTTCTTTATTTTACTCTGTGTGCACCTGTGTGGAGGTCAAAGGACAACTTGTAGGAGTCAGTTCTCTCTTTCCACCATGTGGGTTCCGGGATCAGATTCAGGTTGTTAGCCTTGATTACAAGAGCCTTGACTGGTTGAGCTGTCTCATGGGCCACGTCTTCATTTTCATTCAATGTTTTGGGTTTAATTTTTTGTAAAAAATATGTTTATAGAAAAGACACCTGATAAATGCACACAAGGTGAAAGAAATTGCTCCCCCCATAAAGAAAATGAAGGCATAACCAAGGAATTAAAAAAGAAAAATGAGTTGGGTGTGGTGGCTCACATGTTTAATCCCAGCACTCAGAGGCAGGCAGATCTCTGTGAGTTTGAGGCTAGCCTGGTCTACATAGTGAGTTTCAGGCCAGCAGGGGCTACAGGGGGAGACCCTGTTGCAAAAACACCAAAAAAAAAAAAAAAATTGAGACAGGATCTCATTTTGTAAGCCACACTGACCTGAAACTTCCCTGTAGCCCAGGCTAGCCTTGAGTTGTTGGCAATTCTGCCTTGGCCGCTCAAGTTTTTCAAGTGCTGGGATTATAGGTGTGAGTGAGCCACCAAGCCTGGCTGCAACCAAGGAATTAAAATTCAACTTGAGGCTGACATTTGACCTATGACTGCTTACCCCTCAAAGAATAGCAAAGAGGAAATGCCTCAGTTCACCAACGCAGCATGAGACCAGGGGAGGGAGGGCATAGCTGTCCAGGGTTCCTGCTGAATACGTAAAGTACTTATTCTTGTCAGTTTGTCTAATTACATGATGGTCACCTGAAGATGGTGAGGGTGACTGTCCTCAGAGTGGCAGGTGACCCACCAAGTCTGTAAATTGTGGACAGCTGCAGGGTCTTGTTGACTTAGGATGTCCTGCTAGCCCTGAGAGGATGAGTTTACTGTGCAGTTGACACTTTGCCCTCCACAATCCAGTTTTTTATTTTTGAGATGGGGCGTGTGTGTGGGGGTCTTTAAAAAAGTTATTTTCTTAGTGTATGGCATACAAAACAATCAGTTTCATCATGCCATCTTCATACATGTGCCATCATGCTTTAGTTTCATTTGCTATCCCCACTATGTAGTCCAGGCTGGCACCCTACTTTCAACGACCCTCTAGCCTCAGCCTCCAGAACCCTAGGATTACAGGCCAGCAACCACCACACCCAACCGTGAATTCAGCATTTCTTGATCTGGGTTCTAGCAAGGAATCTCCCTGCTTTTGTTTACTCTTCCTTTCCCTGATGACTAGTAGTCAGTCTGAAGCTCAGTGTATATTTAGACTTCTCACTACAAAGCCCTGGTTAGTCCGGAGCTCACTAGGTAGACCAGCTTGGCCTTAAAGTCATAGAGCTCCACCTGCCTCTGTCTCCCAAGTGCTGGGATTAAAGGCATGCTCTACCATGCCTAACTTGATTTCTTTCTTGTAAAAGATCTCTTGTGGGCCTGAGCGTCGTGATTGAAAATAATGAAAATTAGCTTGGCTAATTGGAAACTGCCATACTTAAAGATGAGCTCTCAGGTGTCCTTCATGGGGATGGAGGGAGGAAACGATGCTCTCAGGGCCATGGCCCTGGCTTTCTGCTTCTCCCCGGTTCTGCAATGGATGAGAGCAGGTTCAGTTCTTGCCAGTTGCTGTGGCCCCACGCTGCTGTATACTGGATCCTGGATAGCTATGTCCTCTTTTTGAGGCAGCACTGGGATCCTTATTACTTTCATGTGGCCCACTTACTGGTTTTTATTTCAGTGATGCCTTTTTTGTTTTTTCCTTTCTTTCCAAGCTTGTCTCCGTAGTCCTGCCAATAATTTCAATTTCTTCTCTGATTCGCCTCTCTCCACCCCCTAGTCAGCAGCAAGGAGAGCAGGGACATCCTGTGCAAACTGTCAGACCACCACGACTACCCTCTGGAGAAGGAATGCTAATGGAGACCCTGTTTGCAATGCCTGCGGGCTCTACTACAAGCTGCACAATGTAAGTAGACTGGGACCAGTAGACTGGGGTGGGAGTCATGACTGTGAAAGAACATCACTGCTGTCCTGTCCAGGTCCTGATGGGTTTCCGTCACCCTCTCTGGATCCAAGCAGTGGGTACAGATAATACAATAGGACCTAGTATATTTGTATTTTGGGGGGTTGGTTGGTTTTTTTTTTTTTTTTTTGGACCTAGGATCTTATATAGCCCAGGCTGGTTTTGAACTGAACATGTAGAAGAGGCTGGACTTATACTCCTGGTCCTCCTGTCTCAACTTCCTGAGCACTGGGATTACAAATGGGTATCACCACACTTGGCAGGATAGTTTGAACTTTCTCAATTTTTGGGACAGAGTTGAGAACAACTTTTGCTGAGATGGAAAGGGTTTAAAGACGGGGAAATCAGGCTTGGTAGTACACATGTCATCCCAACATTTGAAAGGCTAAGACAGGAGGACTGCCATGAGTTGGAAGCCAATCAGGGCTGTATAGCATGGTCCTGCCTCAAAAACAACCACAACAAAGTCAGTTAGTCATGGGAGGAAAGCCTTGTGCTGTGAATTTCAAATGTTCGTCTCTGTGATAGACAGGAAATGAGGTGTCTGAGAGATTCCATCGGTTGTCTTTGTCCTGGCCAGCTTTCACATGTAGACAACTAAGCAGAGAGCTGAGGTTGGCATGCCAGGAAGAAGAAACTGACTTCCTCCCTCCACATCGTTAGCAGGCAGTTACCTAAGTTTAGCTGGATCTTTACCCTTACCTTTTCTCCACTCTGCCCCCGGCCCCTCTACTTTTTTGAGACAAGGTCTCATAGCTCGAGCTGGTCTTGAACTCACTGTGCAGCAGAAGTTGACCTTGAACTTCTTATCTTCTTGCCTCTACATCATGAGCATTGGGATTAATGACACGTACTCCCACGTCTGGTCTGTGCAGGGCTGGGAATGGAACCTAAGGCTTCATGCGTACTAGGCAAACACTTTACCAACTCTGTTCCCAGCCTCTGGCTGGATCGTTTTTAATCCTGTGATATCTGTACCTTAAACTTTTGGGGGGTTATTTATTTACTTACTCATTGCCTGAACTGATTCTGTCTGAAAGGCCCTGTCTTAATAGAAAGCCTCTCATTTACAGTGAATCCCAAACAGAATCATCACCCCTCCTGGCCTTCAGCTTTTCTCCATCCCTCTGAAGTCTCTTGTCTTTGGCAAAGTCTGGAGCAGAATGAAGAAGCTGCCAAAATCTTGCTTGGAGCCATTGTGGCTCTTGTCTCACACAGCACACAGGAGCACGTGGTCACACAGCACACAGGAGCACGCGGTCACACAGCACACAGGAGCACGCGGTCACACAGCACACAGGAGCACGCGGTCACACAGCACACAGGAGTACCTGGGAACTGGGGAGGAAGCCTTTTTCATTTTTTATTTTTTTTGGTCTTTTTGAGGCAGGGTCTCCCCGTAGCCCCAGCTGGCCTGGATTCGCTATGGGGACCAGACTGGCCTCGAACTCACAGAGATCCGCCTGCCTCTGCCTCCCGAGTGCTGGGATCAAAGGTGTGCACCACCACGCCTGGCCTCTCATTCTTTTCTTATAGTTTGCTTGTTTGTTTTGTGTCACAGAGCATTTCCGAGGGTGATCCCCCCAGTACTCTACTTCTTTGTCTCATTTTGGAAACAAATTACTGAGGTTCCCTGGGAATCTACAAATCCCTTTCCCTGTTGCTTGATGACATATGGGCCTCAGACAACCCCATGATGGAAACAGGGCAAAAATTCTTTTTATTTCAGTTGTACTTGAAATTATGACTCAGAACAGCAGCCTTGGCCCCCAGAGAGTGACTGAAACTCAGGGTGTCCAAGGTAATACAGCTAATAAAGACGAGTCGGGACTGACTTCAGGGTGTCTGAGGCCTTCATCGGAGTTTGGCAGCATCAGGACTGATGGGAGAGACTTGGAAGTAATCATTGTGTGACTTTACAGTATGACAAAGTTATAGTGAGCTGTCATGTCTGTGTTTCTTGCCTGCTTCCTTGGAGGTGTAGGAATCATGAGAAATTGACTAACTATAATTTTTTAAAATAATGACGAGCTATGACATACCTGTTTCTAATATAAACATATACGTGTGTATACTTCTGAATAACGATCTTGCCTATGGCCATACAACCTTGAACAGGCCTGATTTCATCTGAATAACGATCTTTTCCTGTGGTGCTGGGGTTGGAACCTAGAGCCTTGTGCATGCTAGGCAAGTGGTCTATCACGGAGTCACACTCCCAACAGACTGTATTTTTCAAATCAAAGAAAAGCCAAGAATTTTCTCTATTGCTTTTTCCTGCCCTATTCCTTCCTAAATTTTATTTTATTACATTTATTTATTTGCGTGTGTGTGTGTGTTCTTAGGCATGTGTATGGCAGTTAGAGGGCAACTTGGGGTCGTCAGTTCTCTCTTTTCCACTATGTGGGCCCTGGGGATTGAACTTTGGCTGTCAGGCCTAGTGACAAGCACCTTTATCCACTGAGCCACCTTACCAACATGCCTTCCCCCCCTCCTGCCCTCCCTTCCTCCCTCCCTCCTTTGTTCTTTCTTTTCTTCTCTCATCTCTGACCTGTGGCAGGGTTTCACTCTGTAGCCCAAACAAGGCAGCTTAGAATCACAGCAGCATTGCTTCAGCCTCCCAAGTGCAAGGATTATAGGAGGGCGGGCGGGCAGGAGGGAGCGAGGGAGAGAGAGACTTCCTTTTTCTCATGTGTATTTTTTTCTGTCTTCTCTGACTTAGTAGGAATTCATCAAAGGAGGCAACTTAGTCTCTAGCAATTAGATAACAATCTATGACCATTTTCTTGGCGTGTGTTTTCTTCTGCCCATGCCATGTCTACACATGTATGCCATGGGCTCCTCTTCTTATCTAAGTGTTTAGATGACTGCCTATCTCTGTATCAGCGTAGCTAGGTGGTGTTGTGACTAGCTATCTGTGGCCATGTAGCTATCAGTGTAACCAGATATTATATTTAGATAACTGGCTGTGTACATCTAGTGATGGGTGTACACAGTGGTGTATCTAGACATTATCTAAGGGAATGTTTGATGTGGGAGTGGATGCCTGTCATCTCTGTGGGCTGCCTCTTTATCTTGATGATAACTTGAGGGAGCCCCAAGACAATCTTCTGACAGTGACCTTGGCTCTTCTGCTTCTATTCACCCTGTCTTTCTGTCCGGGTAAATGGTCTCAAGTGCCAGTGGGGAGGCCCTGTGTCCTTCTCAGATGATCTCTACCAGCTCCAGGAGTTGCTGTCTGTCTTGGCCATTTGGATCTTCTCTCCTTAACTGTCATTATCTAGCCTCAGGAGCACACAGGTAGATATGGGAGCCTCAGCTTTTTCCACACTTGAGAAGTCTGGTAGCTAAGGCTATCTCTTCTTTGGAAGTCGGGCAGGATGATGCTCCTGGCTGCCGCTTGTCGAGTCTCTTCATTGCATCTTTGGGAACGCAGCCGCTGTGCAGTTGCTTCTTCATGGCAGATATGTTCTGTTGATGTTGACCTTTCTGAGTCCATACAGAGAGAAACCTCCATTAGCTTTTTCCCATCCTTGATTCTGGGCTCCCCAAAGCATGTGGATTTATAAAGGACAATTGATCAGGAAGCAAGAAGATGGTCAGGTATCACAGTGAAGCCTAGAAATCTTTTTTCTTTTTTCTAGTGGGGTCTTGCTACGTAGCCCAGGCTAGCCTGGAACTCTTCATTCTCCTGTCGCTGCATTCTGGGATTCTAGGCATATGCTACTACGTCCTACAAGCCTAGAAATCTCCAGAGCAGGGTCTTTGCACTCTGTTGATTCTGATGCATTCTTGGTCTGTAATTTTACCACAATTCTTCCAAAGCATCTCCAAAGGACTTTGAGTCCCACAGGCAGTTATTGAATCTTTGTTGATTGGCTGATTTTAGCTGCTTATCCAGATAGAAGTAGACAGGCAGATTTCGACCATGGCAGGTGAGGTGGGTGCTGGATTACCCATTGGAACAGCATATTGCATTAACATAGATTCCAGGGCTGCATATGTAGATCCATGGCAGGGTGTTTGTCTAGCATACACAAGGCCCTGGGTTCCACTCCCAGCACCCTCCTCCCTCCAAAAGCCCTAGAACATGCAAATTCCAGGGGAAGGTTTTTCTGGTACATCACGATGTGAAAAGGTCAAGTGGACGAGAGGCAGCCAGGTATTTACAGAGAGGTGCAGTCCCAGTTTCCAAAAAAGACTTTAACACCTGATGGTTGGCTATCTTGGCCCTGATTGACAAGTCTGAGAATAGATTTGTCAGATAAGGAGACACCATGGCATTTCACTTTGGAAATGCTTCACTAGCCTGTCTTCTCATGAAATATCTGAAGGAATAGGACAAGTTGTGTTTTAGTTGTCAGAGACGTATACTCATACTGGTGGGCTCCTGGACCCCGCCCACTTCTCCCAAGTTCTGGATATTGGTGAACTTAATTGGTGAGCTGTGCTTGGGGCACTGAACCTATGGCCTGGAGTCTTGACAGTTAAAAGGCTCTTGCCCTAAGACCTGCAGCACCTGGGCCACTGGAAAAGAGGAAAGAGCAGGTGGAAGGGGCCAACAGAAACAGAAACACACCCGTCGATATTGTGTGAAAGCTTGTGCCATTTCAAAGGCAGCAAAAAAGTAAAAAAAAAAAAATTGATCTGTGTTTAGATTAACAGACCCCTGACTATGAAGAAAGAAGGCATCCAGACCCGGAACCGGAAGATGTCTAGCAAATCCAAAAAGTGTAAAAAGGTGCACGACTCGCTGGAGGACTTCCCCAAGAGCAGTTCCTTCAACCCGGCTGCCCTCTCCAGACACATGTCCTCCCTGAGCCACATCTCCCCATTCAGTCACTCCAGCCACATGCTGACCACGCCCACGCCCATGCACCCGCCCTCCGGCCTCTCCTTCGGACCTCACCACCCTTCCAGCATGGTCACCGCCATGGGGTAGAGAAAGAGAGAGAGGAGAGAGAGAGCAAGAGCCCTGCTCCACGTGCACCAGGAGTCTCCAGTCTGCAAAGAGTCCCTCTGACCCCTTCAACTTGCGTTTTTGCAGGAGCAGCGTCATGAAGCCGGAAAGCTACAGCTATGTGTTTTTGAAAGCAGAAAGCAAAATGGTCGCTTCTTTTTCAAAGGAGCGGGTGGCGTCTGTGTTCCAACCACTGAATCCAGATCCCATTTGTGAATAAGCCATTCAGACTCATATTCCCTATTTAACAGGGTCTCTAGTGCTGTGAAAAAATATTGCTGAACATTGCATATAACTTATATTGTAAGAAATACTGTACATTTGAGGAAGACTTTATTGTACCCGGAGAGCTGTAAGGAAGGCATGAAGGACTCCAAGAATTTTAAGGAATAAGGGGAAAATAAAGTATGGAAATGCAGAAGAAACTAGGTCTAAGATCCAAATGGACAAACTGCCAGTTTTGTTTCTTTCCACTGGGCACAGTTTGATGCATTAAAAAAAATAAAAAAAAAAAATACCATTGTAGGATTTTAAATTCTATTTGCTGTAACAAACAGCCCCCTCTCTGAACTCTACAGCCTTAAAAAACCCCACAAAAACAAAAACAAAAAAAAAAACCCAAAGGGGAAAAAGTGGTAGGCAAATCATTTGTTCAAAGCTGTGGGCCTTTGCAAAGGAAATTTCAGTTCTGGGTAATGTGTAAAATCTTACAAATTGCCACATCTAGGGCCTACATGCTTTGTGAACCAGTCCCTGTAACTGTTGTTTGTATGTATAATTCAAAAGCACCAGAATAAGAAAAGATGTAGATTTATTTCAGCATATTACACAGACTGAATTGTATAAATTTATTTACAGTTAGTGTTAAGAATTGCTATTTTTTTTTAAGTGTTTTCCTTCTCTCTTGATTTTCAGTTGAATAAACTAGCTTACTTTAAGTTGACCTAAGGTGGATGTGTTCTGAAGGGTTTATTTTTCCATTTTTGGTTTTTTTTTTTTTTTTGGAATGATATTTATTAAATAGCTTCTAAGGGTCCAGCAGTATTTGTCTTTTTCTATCACTTGTCTTGCAGCCTAAGCTATGATGGTAGCAATGTACGAGCTACCAGCCTGCATGTCAGCAACCCGGCCCAACAGGCCTGTCCTGAGAGCAACCTGGCTGGCTGTTAGCCCCTGTCCTGTTCTGTGTTAGTGATCACTGCCTTTAAACAGTCTGTTGGAATAATATTATAAAAACAATAATAAAGTTAAAATATTTTAAAACAAAATAACGTATCAAAGTGGTGGCCAAGCTCTTATAGAATTTGGTAGCACTAGCTAATTTAAGAAAAAAGAGTTTTGTTTGTTTTTTTAAGCATCTTCAGAACAGACATGTTACTCATTAAGAGACCATGCTAATCTTAGCAGGGCAACATCCATGCAGTGAACAGGAGACCTGGAAGTTTATCCCTGGGCTGCTGCAGCTTCTGGCCTCAACCAGTGATCTGTCTGCTTGCAGTCGGGGTCTCCTGTAAATCACCTTCCCAAAGGAAAAGTGGAGGCACTTCTTGGTTGAGATTCACAGGTGAACCCCGCAGCCTGCGGATGGATTCCTCTTTGGAGATGCAAGTGAGCTGGACCGCTCCTGAGTTCGTTTCTGTTCTACTCTGTTACTGTTGATTGACACCATAGTGAGGGTGGACGGGAATGTCTGCGGAACATGGAATATCCATTTTGAAACGCGCTGTATCTCCTTTCCCCGCCAACAGAATGTGTAACTCCGGCACACATTTAAGAATCTCTGTTAATTGCCTCTCTGCTTTTCTAACAAATATTTTAAATTTAAAGCTGAATGTTGAAATAAAGGAGTAGAGAATTACTGAGATGCCAGTGGGAGATTCCTAATAACAGTGCCGACACTGTTGCTCAGTCACTCTCGAAGCACGCGAGTGAAGAGCCATCGATGACCGAATTAAACCTGGGAGATTTTATTGTATAGCTCCAAGTCTCATGATTTGCGACTCGATTTCAGTTGATGCCCCTTCACCTTAATGAACAAGGAGTTCAAATTCTTGACATTCCTTGAGTGGGAAGGGGTCGGGGGACACACGGGGAAAAAATCTACAAGCTAGCACACGAGCTTGGACTGCAGTTGTCATGGCTTGTTCAGAAAGACGTCATTTCATCGTCATGTGCCTTGATTTAACTTTCAAAGATGTTTCTAGAAGATGATGAGAAAGCTTTATGCAATATCTATTCATCTACATGCTGATGATGGTTAGGTCTCCTTTGGAATGTCACTGTGCTTCCAGGGCTGTAGTGGTTAAAGGCCCTTTCTTTGTGCACATATTAAGACAGGGGCAAAGCAAGGTTGGTGAAAATTTCAACTCAAAAAATAGAACAAGACAGAACTAAAATACTACTGAAATGTTTTTCAGTAAGCTGCACCCTTGATCAATTCCTATTTGGTCTCACTTTTGAAATAGATGTATTATCTTATCCATAGAAGAATATTTGAGATACATGTAGGGCTTGGGGCGGGGGAGGGAAGTGATTTGAGGTGGTTTTTTGGACACAGTTTCACACTGTAGATTGGGTTGGCCGGGTAATCACTGTGCAGTCCAGTCTGCTCTCTAGGCAATCCTCTTGGCTCAGCCTCCCTAGCGCTGGGATGACAGGCATGAGCTACCAGGCCTGACATGGGCCAGTCTTCAAAACATTTTAAAAGCTAAAACAGTAGGGGAAAACCCACTAGTTTTGCTATTTATGAACTCCTTATTTACCTGTCAGTGGAAGTTCATGGAATAAAACCACTGGATTTAAACACTTCTTTCAAGCTGGTTGTCTTGTCATCCTAACACTCAGGAGGCTTAGGCAGGTGGGTTGCTCTTAGTTAGAGGCTAGCCTGAGCTACATGGTGAGTTCAAGGAGAGCCTGGGCAAAGGAGTGAAACCCTGTCTTCAATACAAAGCAACAACAAAAAGAAAAATAAACAAAAACTTCTTTCACTTATTCAATATACCTATTGAGTATCTAGGTTGACATTAATTTAAAAAACCATCTTTTTCGTGAGAAGTCTCATCCGGTAAAACTGCTTGCTGCCAAGCCCGATGACCTGAGTTTGATCCCTGGGGCCCACATGGGGCAGGGAGAGGACCAACTCCTGCAAGTCCTTCTCTGACCTCCATGCCCAGCCCCCTCTCATATACAAATAAATGTAATAAAAATCTTTTGGAGGCTGGTGAGATGAGATGGCTAGGCGGATAAGGGTGCTTGCCTGCCACCAAGCCTGGTGACCTTAGTTTGATCTCCAGAACCCACATGGTGGAAGGAGAAAACTGACTCTAGGAAGATGTCTTCTGACTGGTGACACACACGCACAACAAATAGACTTTAAGCAAGGTGTGGTGGCACACACCTTTAATTCCAGCATTCAGAAGGCAGAGGCAAGGGGATTGCTGTGAGACTGTGCCAGTCTGGGATGGTCTACATAGCGAGTTCCAGACCAGCTGGGGCTACATAGTGAGACTATGTCTCAAAAAACCAAGAAAAAGGGCTTTAAAAGGAAAACAAAATGCCGGGCATGGTGGCACACACCTTTAATCCCAGCACTCGGGAAGCAGAGGCAGGCAGATCTCTGTGAGTTCAAGGCCAGCCTGGTCTACATAGTGAGTTCGAGGACAGCTGGGGCTTCAGGGAGACCCTGTCTCAAAAAAGGAAAACAAAGCAAAACCAAGGCAGGAACAGTTGTAATCCTATCACTTGAGAGGTTGAGGCAGGTGGATTGCCTTTAGAAGCCAGTTTGGGTTACAGTAGTAATAAGACCTGTCTCCAAAAAACTGAAGAAGGAAAAAAGAAAGAAGAAAAGACAAAGAAAAAGGAAAACAGAACAGGAAACAGAAACCAAGACCCTGATGACATCATTCTTTCTTTGTGACATTTACCTTGTTATCCCCTTTAAAATGAACATGAGCTGTGGTGAGCTCCTGGCCAGGCCTCTGGGTTAGTTACCAAGCAGCCAAGTAATAATAGAACTGGGGATACCCAGAGCCTGCCTTCTGAGATTAATATTCATTCTCTAAAGTTTAAAAATGATTTTTATGGGCCTGAAGAGACAGCCCAGTCAGTAAAGTGTTTGCTGTACAAGCATGAGGGCCCAAGTTTGATCCCCAGCACCCACAGTGAGAAAAACAGAAAGCCCAGGACTGGTGCTACGAAGTTTTCATCCCAGGGCTAGGAAGTTGGAGACAGGTGGATCCTGGGGTCCTGGGTCAAACTAGTTTAATCAGGTCCCAGTGCAAAACATTGTCTCAGTAAACAAGGCAGATGACTCTTGAAATTGACCTCTAGATTCCAAGTGCAGAAGCACACAGGTGCACCTGCGCACACACCAGCACACACACACACACACAGACACACACACAGACACACACACAGACACACACACCAACACACACACAGACACACACAGACACAGACACACACACCAGCACAGACACACACACACAGACACACACACACACCAGCACACACACACAGAGACACACAGACACACACACAGACACACACACACCAGCACACACACACACACAGACACACACAGACACACACAGAGACACACACACACACAGACACACACACACAGACACACACACACCAGCACACACACACAGACACAGACACACACACACACCAACTTACACAAGTTTCTAATATGATTTTTGAAACTTTCTCCTCATTGTGAGATCTCCCCTCCCCTGGCCCCTCTTCCTTTCTCCTCTTTTGAAATAGGGGCTCATGTAGCCTAGGCTGTTCTCAAACTCCATATGTAGCTGAGGATGACCTTGAACTGATCCTCCTGCCTCCACTTCCTGAGCACTGGCATTGTAGTTGGGCGCTGTTATGCTTGGTTGGGGTGTTGGGGATGGAACCTAGGGCTTCATGCATGCTAGGCAAGCACTCTATCAACTGAACTACATCCCCAACCCGTTATTATTAGTTATTATTATTATTATTGTTATTATTTGAAAACATCCTTTATTAGAAAAAGCCAGACTTTTGAAAATCCTGGATTGACAACTGTCCTGAAGATTCCACAAAGGTCCTGGGATTCTTTCGTCATTGTGCTTCCTACTCTCTTATAAAGCATAAATTAAATGCGTTGTACAACTGGCGAGCCCTCACAGGAGTCAGCATCTCTGTCTTTGGAGTCTCTGCTCTTTCTGAAATGTGTCCAGGCCCCTCTGGAGTTGAATACACAGGACTTATGGGCCCTGCTGATTTTGGCAGTCGGGTGAATCATTCTCTCATGCATCCTATGAAGAATCTTGCCTGAATTGCTTACAGGCTGTTCTCCTGGTGTAGCTTGAGTCCAACCTTTCTTTTTCCTTTCTCCCTCTCTGTCCCATTGGAGCAGAGGATAAACAGAGGAAGTAGAACCATGCTCACAAAAGCAGTTCCTTTCTGGGTGCCTTGCTCACACCCTTATTCACTGGCCCTTGAGTCCTTCGCAGGGGATCTGGGTACATTAGCTACATT